GTAAGCCACCGCGCCTGGCCTCTACAAAAAGTTTTAAAGAATTATAAAAAAAAAAAAAAAAAAAGAATTAAGCAGGCGTGGTGACCCGTACCTGTGATCCCAGCTGCTCAGGAGGCTGAGGTGAGAGGGTCACTTGAGCCCAGGAGGTCAAGGCCGCAGTGAGCTGTGATTATGCCGCTGTACTGCAGAGCAAGACCCTGTCTCAAAACAAGAAGAAGGAGAAGGAGAAGAAAAAGAAATTTTCTGAATGAATAACTTCAGACTGGAGTTAAGGCCTGGCCTTTAAAATTGACTCAAGATCCTATTTGTTTGACATAGTTAAGAAAAATGTAGACTGTTGTGCTCCTTCTGGTTATCTGAAGCTCTGCATCTGGGTTGGGATTGGGGCTGTTTCTCTGTGTCAACGGAACGCAGGCTGCTGAGGCAAGAGTGGGATGTTCCATCCTCTGGGCAGGAGTGGGATGCTCCATCCTCTGGGCAGGAGTGGGATGCTCCATCCTCTGGGCAGGAGTGGGATGCTCCATTCTTACTAATGTGACTTCAAACAACAAAGTTTCTCATGGTCTTTGATTTTAGCAGCCAAGATTTCCTGGTTCTATGTTCTTAATGTTAATGAACAGAGCCACGTTGTTTTTTTCTTTTTATTGAGGCAGAGTCTTGCTCCGTCACCAGGCACCAGGCTGGAGTGCAGTGGTGCGATCTCAGCTCATTGCAACCTCTGCCTCCCAGGTTCAAGCAATTCTCCTGCCTCAGCCTCCTGAGTAGCTGGGATCACAGGCACACACCACCATGCCCAGCTAATTTTTTTTTGTTTTTAGTAGAGACAGGGTTTCACCATGTTGACCAGGATGGTCTCGATCTCTTGACCTCGTGATCCACCCACTTGACCTCCCAAAGTGCTGCGATTACAGGCGTGAGCCACCGCGCCTGGACTCTTTTTCTTTTTTTTAAAGACGGGGTTTCACCTTGTTGGCCAGGCTGGTCTTGAACTCCTGACCTCAGGTGATCCGCCTGCCTCGGCCACCCAAAGTGCTGAGATTACAGGCGTGAGCCACCACACCCGGCCCAATCCACTCTCTTATCCCTTCTGCCCTATTCCTATTTAGTCCCCTTAGGTAACCAATCTCACTGGGCTTTGGTAAATCTTTTTTTTTTTTTTAATTTTATTTTGAGATGAAGTCTCGCTCTGTTACTCAGGCTGGAATGCAGTGGCACAATCTCGGCTCACTGCAACCTCCATTTCCCAGGTTCAAGTGATTCTCCTGCCTCAGCCTCCTGAGTAGCTGGGACTACAGGCATGTGCCACTATGCCTGGGTAATTTTTCATTTTTATTTTTTTTTGAGACGGAGTTTCACTCGTTATCGCTCGTTACCCAGGCTGGAGTGCAATGGCGCGATCTTGGCTCACCGCAACCTCCGCCTCCTGGGTTCAGGCAATTCTCCTGCCTCAGCCTCCTGAGTAGCTGGGGCTACAGGCACACACCACTCTGCCCAGCTAATTTTTTTGTATTTTGAATAGAGACGGAGTGTCACCATGTTGACCAGGATGGTCTTGTCTCGATCTCTTGACCTTGTGATCCACCCGCCTCGGCCTCCCAAAGTGCTGGGATTACAGGCGTGAGCCACTGTGCCCTGTTGCTTATTTCTTATTCTATCCTATATAAGGCATAAGTACTGTTCAATCAAATTTGTCCTAAAGCAGCCTCTGTACGTAGAGAACTGTAACCTAGCTTGGTCTGTAAACAAACTACTGCCTAAAGTTGAGAGAATAGTTTTGTAACAAATAGCCAAGCCTTGGTCAATCATAGCAGCTGGGCTTTCAACCAGTCACAGACTGAAAACTGTTCAGATTTGTCCAAACAAGGCAAAAGTGGAGTTGCAACCAATCCAGCTGTTTCTTTTTCTTTTTGAGACAAGAGTTTTGTTCTGTTGCCCAGGCTGGAGTATAGTGGTGCGATCTTGGCTCACTGCAACCTCCGCCTCCAAGTTCAAGCAATTCTCCTGCCTCAGCCTCCCAAGTAGCTGAAATTATAGGCGCCCACCACCACACCTGGCTATGTTTTGTATTTTTAGTAGAGATGAGGTTATGTCATTTTGGCCAGGCTAGTCTCAAACTTCTGACCTCAGTTGATCTGCTTGCTTCAGCCTCCCAAAGTGTTGAGATTACAGGTGTGAACAACTGAGCCCAGTGCAATCCAGCTAGCTGTTTCTGTACTTCCCTTTTTTGTCTGTAAGTCCTGCCTACTCAGGATGCTGGGTAGGGCTCTCTGGACCTTTACTGTTCAGGATGCTGCCTGATTCATTGTTTCTTTTCTCAGAAAAACCCTTCTAAATTTAATTTGTTTAAAGTTTTTCTTTTTCTTTTTTTTTTCCCCATGTTTTTGTTTAATAGAGATGAGGGGGTCTTGTTCTGTTGCCCAGGCTGGTCTTGAACTCCTGGCCTCTAGTGACCCTCCTGCCTTGCCTCCCAAAGTCCTGGGATTACTTACTTACTGACTTACTATGAGACAAACTGAACATTTTTTTCCACATGTCTAAGAGTCATTTTTACATCTTTTTGGGGGGAGTTGCTGTTTATTTGTTTGCCCATTTTTCAATTTTTTGATCTTGTTTTCCTCAAAGTCATATAACTATAGGAGGCATATTAAGCCTTTATCCATGATATGTGTGGCCAATATTTTCTCCCACTTTTTAATTTGTCTTTTGACCTCGCGGTGATTTTTTTTGGGCCATGTCACATTTTATTAATTTTTTGTAGTAAAATTTACCAGTCTTGTATTGCCTTTGGCTCATGAGTCCTAGTTAGAAATCTTTTTTTACATTCTGATCAAAGAGGTATTCACCCATGAATTCTTAGAACTCTTATCATTTCGTGTTTTTACATCGAGATCTCTGAACCATCTGGAATTTAACTGTGTAGTGGGAGTTACAGACCTAGTTTGATCTCTTTCTTAATGACTATCTGGCTGTCCAAGCACCATTCATCACAAGGCTCGGGTGTATTTCTGGACTTTCTGTTGCATTCCGCTGGTCCGTCTATTCCTGCTTCAGCACCACACTGTTTTAATTATAGAGACTTTATAGCATGTCTGATTATTTGGTAGAGGCAGACCTCTCTCATAGCTCTTCTTCCGCAGGTTATTCCTAGCTATTCTTGCATTTTTATCCTTCCATATGAATATTTGGATCTGTTTAGGCTCTAGAAAAAAATGTTTTGGCATTTTATTGGAATTGCATTAAATTTATTTCTTAACTTGGGGGAGAACTTAACATATTTATGATACTGAGTCATCTTTTCCAAGAACGAAAGATGACTTGGTTCAGATCTATTTCTGTGTCTTTCAGGAGTGTTTTAATGTTTTCATCATACAGATACTGCTGCTATTGTACATGCGTTTTCTGTACATTATATCCTCTACCTGATTATTATTTATGTTTATGATGGTCATTGATTTCCATAGGGTAATCTTGTATCCTGCTAACTTACTATAATATGTAGCCTATTTATCACTGTTTTGCGGTTTTCTAATTCGTATGCCTCTAATTGACTTACCTTTTCTAATTCTATTGACTTATACTAGCAGAATGAGTTAACCCATCAGTATTGGACTGAGCAAGGCTCAGTCCTTAAGTCTGGGTAGCCTGAGTTTAATTTGAGGAGGCCAATACCGGGTAAGGGAGCTCTGTGCTTGTGGCTGCGCATTTTCTCTCCTGCTCTGACCTGATGTGTCCACCCGGTCAAAGTCGTTGCGGCTAGAGCTTTGTGGGGGGAAAAGCATTTATTGCTCTTCAGACCAGAGAAGCTGGAGTTAGGCTGCGAACGCCCTGGCCTGGTCTCCCCGGTGCCCACCCGCCTCTTGCAGGGCACAGAGCCGACCCCCGACAAGCCCCGGCAACCTCCCGAGGCCCTCCGGTCCCAGGGGCTCGGCGGCTCAGCTCAGCGCCCTCCGGCCTGTCCCGCCCAGGCCTGCAGCCCCGGGGATGGCTAGGGCCTCGCGTCTTCGCCTCACTCTCCCCTGGCTGCCGGCACCTCCCTCAGCCCCGCAAGCAGCTCGGTCCTTCAGGTTGCGGGGCAGAGGCTGGCGCTGCCCCCGTCCCACGCGCACGAGCTCCTCCTTTGGAGGAGCCCACGCGAAAGCACCCGCGGCAGCGGCGCCAATGGCCCTTCTTCCCAAGCGCACCTCCTATCAGGGCTCTACCAGATCGGCTCTGTCCATCCCAAGGTTGCGGTGGAGAGAAGCCACAGTGGCGGAGTCATGCATGTGGGTGCCGCTTCCTTCCACCAGCTTGCAGAACTGAGCCTGGGGCGCCGCGGAGGACAGGGCGCCGAGATACCGCCACCTGCCGCCCGGAGCTGGCACTACACCCTTTAGTGAAAAGCAAATCCCTGTCCCATCGGTCCCCTCCCTCCCTGAGCATGAAGTCTAAAGGGAAGCTCCCCTCTCACCCTTCCACCCTCTTACCAAGGGCCCTTATTCTATCATTTCCTTTTATTTTTATTAGTTTTTGAGACGGAGTCTCGCTCTGTCGCCCAGGCTGGAGTGCAGTGGCGCAATTTCGGCTCACTGCAACCTCCATTTCCCAGGTTCAAGTGATTCTCCTGCCTCAGCCTCCTGAGTAGCTGGGATTGCAGGCGCCTGCTCCTATGCCTGGCTAACCTTTGTATTTTTGGTAGAGACAGGGTTTCATCACTTTGGCCAGGCTGGTCTTGAACTCCTGGCCTCAAGTGATCTGCCTGCCTCGGCATCCCGAAGTGCTGGGATTACAGGCCACTGTGCTCGGCCACTTTATTTTATTTAGAATTGGAGTTGTTCCGGCTCCAGAGTCCAAATCCTGCAGATAGAGCTCAAAGGGTAAGGTGAACTGAAATGTCTTTGGCTTAGCTCAAATTCTCATTGTGGAGGTCTGAGAAAGGAAGGAGCTTAATGGGGAGAATAGAAGAATGAAAAGGATCACGCGCAAAACTGGTCACTGTCCACAGAGTACTAACTCATTGCATCTTCATTGTATGAAATGTATTTGCATTTCCATGGATAACAATCATTTGTATTATTACCAGTTTTCTACAACACATAGAGCTACCAAATCGCTTAAAGACACGTATAGACCTTTCTAGAAGCAGATAAGCCCTAGAAAGATCTTCTAGACAATCTGTAGTGAAGCCAAGCAATACCTTTAAGATTTCACAACTGCCAACTGGATCTGAAATTTAAACCAGAGTGATATGTTTCTGTGCATCCAGGCTCTTTTCTTTGTATCAGGCAGCTTTTGGACTGGAAGAGTGCTTTTCAGCAGGAACTGTGGTGTTGATCACTCATCACCCCATTTAGTTAAAAATCCCTGGTCTGGCCGGGCGAGGTGGCTCAAGCCTGTAATCCCAGCACTTTGGGAGGCCGAGGCGGGTGGATCACAAGGTCAAGAGATCGAGACCATCCTGGTCAACATGGTGAAACCCCGTCTCTACTAAAAATACAAAAATTAGCTGGGCATGGTGGCGTGTGCCTGTAATCCCAGCTACTCAGGAGGCTGAGGCAGGAGAATTGCTTGAACCCAGGAGGCGGAGGTTGCGGTGAGCCGAGATTGTGCCATTGCACTCCAGCCTGGGTTACAAGAGTGAAACTCTGTCTTAAAAAAAAAAAAAAAAAAATCCCTGGTCTCGCCAGGTGCGGTGGCTCACGCCTGTAATCCCAGCACTTTTGGGAGTCCAAGGTGTACAGACCATGAGGTCAGGAGTTCAAGACCAGCCTGACCAACATGTTAAAACCCTGTCTCTACTAAAAAAAAAAAAATTAGCTGGCATGGTGGCACACACCTGTAATCCCAGCTACTCAGGAGGCTGAGGCAGGAGAATTGCTTGAGCTGGGGAGGTGGAGGTTGCAGTGAGCTAAGATCGAACCACTGCACTCGAGCCTGGGCCACAGAGCGAGACTTCGTCTCCAAACAAAAACAAAAACAAAAAACCCTGGTCTCAGGAATCTCCACCGGGACCATGTACTGACGAACTTCAAAACCTCCATCAGCCATTTGCCAACTTGGGAGAGTCTTGTCCTGGATTCAAGTGTTCCCCCCGAACGCCTGAAGGGCCTGGAGTGTGGTCAGAGTCTCGATTCCCACTAGCAGGAGAGGAGACCACTGCAGCCCAGCCCCCCATCAGTTCTTTGCTTTGGGAGTTCCGGGACCGGGACCGGGACGCTGGTACAGTCGGATTATCCCTTCATCGTGTAGCCGCTTCCAGACTTCTTTCTCCAACTTGAAGTCATGGTTTGAGTAAAAGATCAGTCGTTTCCATGACTTATCATAGTAGTGATCAGAAAAGCGCTCATGGCCCTCGGTGATGAAGCCATAGGCACTCACCTACAGCAAGGTCAGAGGAGACATAGGGCCTGTAGTTGCTGTTACTCAGGCTTCTTCTCATGGCTAATTCTGTGTGGAGGGTGCGGGTTCTTTTTCCTGGTTCCACCCCTAAGGGTCTGGGTGTGGGTCCCTGGATACCCACGCACCACGGCATGCACCCATACTTATGCCCACCCTCCCTCCCACCAGGGGGTGCACCCAGCCCATCCATTGTCCTATGCTGTGCAGGCCCAGGAATAGCCCAGAGCAGTTTCTCCAGGCATTTCTGCAGCTGCGGTGGAGCCTTACCTGGTCACAGAGCTGCAGGGCCGTGAGCAGCAGGAAGGCCCCAGTGGTGGGGCGGTATATCCTCCAGTGGGCACCGTCCAGGGTCTTAGACCTCAGAAACCTGTGAAATGCCCAAACCCCCAACTGTCAGGAGACTACAAGGATAACAGGGACCTGGGCTGTGTGTCACGTGCTTTCTCCTCTGACCTGTTCTTCATGTATCGGAGGAAGTCTGGGTGCAGCAACAGGTATCTGTCCATTTGCAAGGCTTCCCGGAAAGCTTCCTGGGGTCTGCGCCTGCGGTGACGAAGGGGTCATTGAGAGTTCCCTTACCTGGCCTGGTGTGGGCCAAGTCAGGCTCACGAGCATGACTGGTGTCCCATCTCCAGGTGATAGCTCAGGCTGTCCCCACCTGTCCAACCCTTTATAGCCACTCATGACATGGCTCAGCCTGGGATAATAGGATGGCAGGAGGGCAGTGGGTACCTGAACCAGAAAAGGTTATTTGACATCAGCGTCTGATTCATAAGCAGCGCTTCCAGCCACTCATAGTCCCGGGTGCCTTCCAGGAAGTGCAAGTAGCGGACGTCCTGAGGACCAAGAACAGGGAGTGATCCCACAGCACTGCCTTTAGGACCTGGGCGGGGGCGGCCTGCTCTGACTTCACCTGCCCACTTGCTCTCCTCTGGCTGCTCTGACTGTCCTCCCGACTCCTGCCTGATAGAAGGGGAGCCTGTACCAACTGCAGACTCCAGCCAGAAGCAAGCCTCCTCTCCTGCCTCACCTGTGTGCTCCCCCATCCAGAGTCTGGGTGTGGCCAGGCCCCTCCCTCTTTGCTCACCTGCCCGAGAGGCACATTCTTGAAGCCCCGATTGCCCAATACATAAATCGATGTGGTCAAGGAGAAGGCAGTGAAGCCGTAGAAGGATGTCCGAGCACCCACATCCTGTTCGTAGCCTTTAATGAGAGCTCCGCTCAGTCTGTACAGAAAGGCAAAATCAGACCGGATAGGTGAGCAGAGGAAGGAGATTTGTGTAGGTGGGTGGGGAAAGGAAGGAGAAATGGGGGAGGCAGCAGTTATGTGCTGCAATTCTCTGGAGACCCAGGAATTCTACCTTCCAGATGCAGGCATGGAATACCCTATGGGTGTCTTGGAAGAGTCCATGTCTGCAGGAGCAGGTAAGAGAGGGGTAGGAGAGAGCAGGAGAGGGGCAGGAAAGGGACAGGAGAGGGGCAGGAAAGGGGCAGGAGAGGGGCAAGACAGGGCAGGAGAGGGGCAGGAGAGGGGCAGGAGAGGGGCAAGAGAGGGCAAGAGAGAGGCAGGAGAGGGCAGGAGAGGGGCAAGAGAGGGCAGGAGAGGGGCAGGAGAGGGGCAAGAGAGGGCAGGAAAGGGGCAGGAAAGGGGCAAGAGGGCAGGAGAGGGCAGGAGAGGGGCAAGAGAGGGGTAAGAGAGGGCAGGAGAGGGGCAAGAGAGGGCAGGAGAGGGGCAGGAGAGGGGCAAGAGAGGGCAGGAAAGGGGCAGGAGAGGGGCAAGAGGGCAGGAGAGGGCAGGAGAGGGGCAAGAGAGGGGTAAGAGAGGGCAGGAGAGGGGCAAGAGAGGGCAGGAGAGGGGCAGGAGAGGGGCAAGAGAGGGCAGGAAAGGGGCAGGAGAGGGGCAAGAGGGCAGGAGAGGGCAGGAGAGGGGCAAGAGAGGGGTAAGAGAGGGCAGGAGAGGGGCAAGAGAGGGCAGGAGAGGGGCAAGAGAGGGCAGGAAAGGGGTAAGAGAGGGCAAGAGAGGGCAGGAGAGGGGCAGGAGAGGGCAGGAGAGGGGCAGGAGAGGGGCAAGAGAGGGCAGGAAAGGGGCAGGAGAGGGGCAGGAGGGCAGGAGAGGGCAGGAGAGGGGCAAGAGAGGGGTAAGAGAGGGCAGGAGAGGGGCAAGAGGGCAGGAAAGGGGCAGGAGAGGGGCAAGAGAGGGCAGGAGAGGGGCAGGAGAGGGCAGGAGAGGGGCAGGAGAGGGGCAAGAGAGGGCAGGAAAGGGGCAGGAGAGGGGCAGGAGGGCAGGAGAGGGCAGGAGAGGGGCAAGAGAGGGGTAAGAGAGGGCAGGAGAGGGGCAAGAGGGCAGGAAAGGGGCAGGAGAGGGGCAAGAGAGGGCAGGAGAGGGGCAAGAGAGGGCAAGAGAGGGCAGGAGAGGGGCAGGAGACGGCAGGAGAGGGGCAGGAGAGGGGCTGGAGAGCTTGGGTGGGACAGCTTACCGGAACACGTAGTCATGACTGTCTATCTCCTGGCCCATGCGGGAGTTGTTCAGGATGCCCCCATTGCCCACCACGGCACAGGTGATGCACCGGACGTTCCCAGGAGGGAGGCTGGCCAGGAGCAGCTGCTGCTGGGGCACTGGAGGGAAGCGTGTCACCACCTTCTGCACCACTGGAACAAGGTGGGGCTCCATTCAGAGCCCTGGGAGGGACAGGAGTCTGACCCATTATTCCTCCCAGGTCTGGCAAACCCCAGGGAAGAGGCAGACCGAAGCCAGCTGCCCTCTGCCTTCTGCCCTCTGTTCTCTGCCCCCCGCTCTCTGCCCTGGTCTACTGCGCGCCCACACCTCCCTGGGGTTGGGACTCACAGGAGTAGTTGAGCTCCATGAAGCCAAAGGGTGGTGCAAAGTGTTCCAGGCGGTCCCACTCGCTCTGGTTGAAGTGTCTCGAGTCCAGGAAAAAAGTGAGGTTGGGCAGAAAGAGTTTCTGGAGCCACGGCGACTTGGAGGCTTTGACCTTCACGGAGTCAGGGCAGGTCTATATGCAGGAGGACGAGGTCAGGAAGGGCGAGGCCCAGAAAGGCCATCGGCAGGGGCTACGCCCCGAGAACAAGGGCTGGGCCTCGCTGTGTGGAAGCCGTGGCTCTGAGACCTCTTCCATCCTATTCTCAGAGTCTCACCCTCCCCTTCCCATTGTCTGGGCTCCTTGAGGTCCTGAGGGTTCTGGGAAATGGGTGTTCTCAGCTGTCAAGGCAAATGCCCCTTTGTAAGTGTGAGAGGAACCACATCCTGGGAATGTGGCAGGTGTCCAGTGAGCTGTCACTGCTGCGGTTACAGTCATATGTGAATAAACGTGCACTTCCCTCCCTCCCTCCCTTCCTTCTCTCCTTCCTTCCCTCCCTCCCTCCCTCCCTCCTTCCTTCCTTTTTTCCTTCCTTCCTTCCTTCCATCCTTCCTTCCCTCTTCTTTCCTTCTGTCTTTCCTTTCTTCCTTCTGCCCAGGCTGGAGTGCAGTGGTGCCATCATAGCTCGCTTTAACCTCAAGTGATCCTCCCACCTCAGCCTCCTAGTAGCTGGGACTACAGGCGTGTGTCGCTATACCCAGCAACGTACACATTTTGGATACCGCCCCTCTGTGCAAGCGCAGATGAGAAGGACCATGTGGGTGGGTGTGGTTAAGCCAGCCTGTTTCCTTCGGGTTGGAAGAGAGTGGAGGCTGTGGAATTGACTTTGCAGGGAAGACGAGGCATTTCTGGAGGATAGAGCTGAGAGTGAGGTTGGTGTGTTCTTGTCTGTGAATTCCTCCCCTGCAGCCCCCACCAGAGGACGGGGGGATTCAGGGGCCAAGCCAGGAGTAGATCACACTCTCTCACCCCAGATGGATGGCCTCTGGGCCTCAGGGGCTCCAGGGCAGGCCCCTTCTTACCCACCCCTCTTACGCTGTTCACACCAGGGGTCCGGGGCCGGCCTGCTCCTCATCCCCCATGGTGGCCATCATTGGAAGGATGAGTGGGGCAGAGTCATGTGGGGCTGAGCTGTGCCTCAAGATGAGTTTGGGGCAGGACAAGACAAAGTCTAGAAGCAGAACCCAGGAGGTGAGGAGAGGGTGGGCTGGGCTGTGTCTCTGGAGAGGCTTCAGAGCTGGGAGCCAGAGGGAAGGGGTGGTGGCAAAAACTCACCGTCTGGAGGCCTCCTATTTCAAAGCTGTATTTTTCCTCAAAATCCCACCGAGGCTCAGACTTGAAGTTGGCAGCTTTCAGTCTTAGGATTCTCTGTGTCATGGGGCTCTGGAAAGGGGCAGGGGGTGGGGTGACCTGCGCTTTCTTCTCCTTGGGTGGGATGACTGCTGTGGTTACTCCTTTCTGTCTTGTCCTTGTTGGCACTGCCCCTGTGGGGGCCAGCATTCCGTGCCAGCCTTTGGGAATGAGTGCCTTTGCGGTGGCTGCTGCTTTGCCCTGGTGCTTCACTGACACCGTCTTGGTGGCCCTCAGCTTCCCGGCCTGGCCCCCATCTCCTTGGGTCATCTTTCTTTCCTGGCTCTTCCATGATTGTGCCAGTGTCCCTGCATCTTGCCCTGTGGGTGACTGTGTGTTCACCATGGTTTTCTCTTTTTCTTGGCTCTTCCACGCTGCCCTCTGTGCTGCACCGGGCGCCTTGCCCTGCTTTTCCAGCGGTGCCTGGTCAGCCTCCCTTCTTCCCTCTCCGGCGCTGTGGGCCCTGGGCTGGGCGTGTGTGCTGAGGGCACTGTGCTCTGGCTCTGGCTCTGCAGAGACGGTCGCCCTCCTTGCTCTCGTGGGTGCCTGGGACTTAGGCTTTTGCAGGGACTGTGGAGACCTCACTTTAATGTTCTCTGTGCCTCGATGCCTAGGGACAGAGATAACTTGGATGAAGGCTGAAGATTGTGGAAACGGGTCAGAAGCATACATAGTTTTTATTTTGTTTTGAGACAGAGTCTTCTTGCTCTGTCACCCAGGCTGCAGTGCAGTGGCACAATCTCGGCTCACTGCAACCTCCTCCTCCTGGCTTCGTGATTCTCCTGCCTCAGTCTCTTGAGTAGCTAGAATTACAGGCACCTGCCACCACACCTGGCTAATTTTTGTATTTTCAGTAGAGATGAGGTTTCACATGTTGGCCAGGCTGGTCTTGAACTCCTGGCCTCAAGTGATCTGCCTACCTTGGCTTCCCAAAGTGTTGAGATTATAGGCATGAGCCACCACTCCTGGCCCAGTAGTAGTTATTATCGTCCCCAGGCAGACTTCCAACTAGTCCCCATAGGAGAGGGAGGGAAGGGTGTCACCAGCACTACCAAAAAGCATATCATGTCCTTTACCAGTCGGTCTGGACTTACCTCTGACCAGTAAGCAACCTTGGCAATAGCCAGGAGCCTGAGGGGCTGGGAAAGGATGCTAAAAGGACTAGAGCTGAAATGTTTCCCAGCACTGCGCCCCAGTCCCTGTGCTTGCTCCTGGGCCCCCAGGGTACAGCCATTTGAGGTGTGGCTTCCAAGAATGAGCTTGTGTGACCCTGGTCCTGTCACCTGATATCTGCGTGGTTCAGTTGCCCTTTTTGTTGCTATTGTTGGAAGCATAGGTAACCAAAGTTACTTCATTCACAAGGAAGTGGGACAAGCACATTGATGTCAGGATGAGAGCTGCCAGCCTGGATTCAAACAGGATCATGAGTCAAACTCTGCTTAAAAGTTTATCCTTGGCCAGGCACAATGGCTCACATCTGTAATCCCAGCACTTTGGGAGGCCGAGGTGGGTGGATCCCCTGAGCTCAGGAGTTCGAGACCAGTCTGGGCAACATGGCAAAAGCCCCATCTGTACAAAAGTCCCAGCTACTCAGGAAGCTGAGGTGGAAGATCGCTTGAGCCCAGGAGTGGGAGGGCGCAGTGAACTGAGATGGAGCCACTGTACTGCAGCCTGGGCCAGAGATCGAGACCCTGTATCAAACACAGCAGCAACAACAACAAAGACCCACCTAACTCTCGCTAGTTGGCATAGCTAGGAAAAAAATACATGACTCAACAAATACTTGTTGAGAGGCCACTCTATTTGCCACATTTCATGTGAGAGGCTAGAGGTCACAAGTGAAAGCCACGTTTTCCAGCCATAAGCAAGAACAACTCTAGTGAGAGGCAGAGAAAGGAGTCCTGCTGCCTAGAGAATGTGTGAGCTCGTTGGGAGCAGGAAGGAAGGGCTCTGACAGCCACGTTGGAGGTGAGGAAGGTTTCCTAGAGGAGCTTCCCCTCCAAGAGGATTAGGAGTTGCAGAGGGTTGGGGAGGTGGAGGTTTCAGTCCTGGAAACATGAAATGCATGGTGCCTTGAGACTGTGGATCAATTACAAAACGCTGAGTGTGGGACAAGAGGTGTTCCCAAACGGGTGGGCAAGGCTGGATTATAATCTGCATCCCATGTCAGATTGTGGAGTTTAGAGTTTATCATTTGTCCACCTGTCCAAGAGGAGCTACTGAAGAATTTCCAGTAGGAGTGGTGGTGGCCGGTGGCGGCAGAAGGACGGAAGTGGCCATGCGGGGGGCACAACCTGATTTCCATCCAATAATGCTTTTTCTAGCAGTAGTATTAATAAAAGAGAAATTCTTTCATGCCTGTAATGAATGAGCCCAGCAGTTTAAGACCAGCCTGGGCAACATGGCAAAATCCTGTCTCTATGAACATTTGTTGGATAAAATATTCTCCTGTATGTCCTATGTACATATCTCAGATCCGATTTTGCTTTTGTTTGAATCTATTTTCTGGATGGGTGCAGTGGCTCAGGCCTGTCACCCCAGCACTTTGGGAGCCCAAGGCAGGTGGATCACCTGAGGTCAGGAGTTCGAGACCAGCCTGGCCAACATGGTGAAACCCCGTCTCTACTAAAAATACAAAAATTAGCTGAGTGTGGTGGTGGGCATCCAACAAATGTTTACTAAACGTCTATTCTGTGCAGTGTGCACCAGGAATACAAACTTGCATAAAGCACAGGCCGTGGACCTATGTAATACACAATTATTGTTATTCAAGACAGGAAACAAAGGTCTGTGATCACTGGAGGAAGGCAGGGCTGGTCCACAGCAATATGGGAAGCAGGCAGATTGCCTCTGCTAGCCATTCCTCCATTAGGCCTCCTGGCCTGAGTTGCAGCTGGCCCTGGCTGGTATTTCCAGCCTTTCTCCAGCCTCAAAGAAACACATTTGCTCGGGGTTTCGAGCAGGGGCATTCTGTATTCTAACGTTGAAACGGAACAAAAACTACATTTCCCCAGGGTATTAGGAAAGGGTTGACAGCCGACAGTTCTTCCTCCTTACCTCCTAGGGATCCGTCCTTCCTCCTTGAAACATACACCTTCTTTGTTTTGTTTTGAGACAGAGTCTCGCTCTGTCGCCCAGGCTGGAGTGCAGTGGCGTGATCTCAGCTCACTGTAGCTTCCACCCCCGCCGGGGTTCAAGCTATTCTCCTGCCTCAGCCTCCTGAGTAGCTGGCATTATAGACGCCTGCCACCACGCCCAGCTAACTTTTGTATTTTTAGTAGAGACGGGGTTTCACCGTATTGGCCAGGCTGGACTTGAATTCCTGACCTTGTGATCCACTGACTCAGCCTCCCAAAGTGCTGGGATTACAGGCACGAGCCACCGCGCCTGGCCTCTTCCTCTCTTTCCCTCTGTGCAGACAGGGCTCCTCTGCTCTCCAGCCCACAACCCTGTAACGCCTGTGCTGGAGACCATGAACTCTCTTTGCTCCCAATTTTTCACTCTTGCAGGAGAAGACCGTGGCCCACTTGGGTCCTATCTCCATCCTTTTCCAGGGGTCTGGGTCACGTACTATGTGACATCTTGGGGCCCACTCTGTGCATGGGAGGAGGACAGTTTCAAGAGGAAGAGGGGGTTACTGGTTCATGAACTGGGAAGGCACCCCCAAAGTATCTATTTTGAAAGAATACCACAACGCAGAGTGAAAAACCTGAGTTAGTGAACATATTCTTGATCAATTCATTCCACATTTGCTCAGGAGAAGGTCTGAGTGCTGAGCGGGTAGGTGTGAGGCTCGTGTTCCCCATGGTCCGACTACTTGCTGTCAGCTCCAAGCTGGCCTAGGCCATTCAGCAAAATCCAAGCTGTGCACTCAGTTTAACAAACAGCTCTTGTTACCTAGCAAAGCTCCTTGGTGAAATCACCCCGACCTCCACTTCCCAACCCCAACCTCAAGAAGCCAATGGAAACTTCCTGTTTGGAAAACTCTGCCCCTACCGTGAAAGCTCTCTCTCTTTCCCTCCCCCACAAAGAGGCTCCCTTATCTCACTCTACATACCGCCCTAGCTCCCCGCCGCCCGGCTTCTGCCTTATCAGCACTCCCCAGCTCCCCTCCCGCCGCTTCTGCCTCATCAGCACTGCTCAGCTTCCCGCCGCCCGGTTTCTGCCTCATTAGCTCTCCCCAGCTTCCTGCTGCCCGGCTTCCCGCCGCCCAGCTTCCCGCCCAGCGGTTCAAACTGACCAAACGTTGCCTACCACCTCAGCTTTTTCAGCTTCCTACTCCCTCGGCCCTTCAGCCCCCTATAAAACAACCCTGCCCCTCTGAGCGGCATGGCCATTTTTCGTTTTCGTCCCGGCTGGCCCGCCCGGAGGCTCTTTTCTCTCAATAAAGCCTGAACTTAAGACTTTCTTCTTGCCTGCGGTCCGGTTTCTTTCTGAATGAGCTCAGTCTTCCCGCAGAGGGTAGGTTGGACAATTGGTGCCGAAACCCGGGATGGGAGCTGAGGCCGTTGGCCCAGCCACGGCCCCCTCCCCGACCTACCCAACACTGGCCCTGCCACCTCCACGCTCCGATTAAGGTAAGCCAAGTTTTTCTTGCTTTGCCTTCCTCCGCTTCCCGTCCCCTCTTCCTACGGCACGGTGCAGTTGCTCCCCTCCGGCGTTCCGCACGGACTCCTTGCCTAGTCTTGGCCGAGCCAAGGAAGTCTTCCATTCCAGCTCCAGGAGCCTTCCGAGGGACAGCCGCCAGACGGGGGACACCCCTCTGACCGCTTCCCTATCCGTACTTAATTGTACTCCGGGGAATTTGCAGCGAACGGGGACGCCTTTTTGTTGCATCTGCCCATCCGCGCCGGAGAGTCTGTAGCTGCGCCTGCCGTGGGAAATTCGGAGTCCAAAATACCTCTAAGCACCCCCCTTGGGTGCTTGCTGTGAAATTTTACCAAATTGGGATATTCCCAAACCCTCAGAAAGAAAAAGCTTGTCTTCCTGTCCCAGGTGGCTTGGCCCCAATACAAACTCAGTAACCAGTCACATTGGCCCCCGACTGGCACTTTCGATTTCAACACCCTCCGAGATCTCGACGATTTTTGTCGCCGCGTGGGCAAGGACAATGAAATTCCTTACATTCAGGCTTTTTGGGACCTCCATACCCACCCTGACCTATGTTCTTCCTGCTCCACCTACCAAATCCTCTTAGCTCGAACCCCTCGTAAATCTTCCTCCACTACCTCTCCCCCTCCCTACTCCTCACCGGAGGATTTGCCTGAACATCTGTCCTCTCCTGCCAATCTCAGCAACCAGTCGCCATCAACGGCACGCTCTTCCTCTGCTCCCTCTGCACCTCCTACCTCAGAAGACATGCCTCACTCTCCCTCTACTCCCTCCGAGCCCCCTCCCTCAGAGGCTGCACTTCCTCTTGCCTCTCCGGTGGCGGCCCACACCTGCTCTCACCAGCCAACTATCCTGGCCCCACTCCGAGAAGTAGCAGGCGCTGAAGGTTTAGTCAGGGTCCATGTTCCTTTCTCACTCCAAGACCTGTCCCAAATTGAGAAACATTTAGGATCCTTCTCAGCCGACCCGTCCACCTATATTAAGGAATTCCAATACCTC